GGGGGGGGGGACGGAGTGCTGACTCACCCACCACGCCACTGCTGGGTAGGGAGGGGTTGTCCTCCATTGCGCAACATGTCACAATATTGTTATTGATTGACAATTTAAAGCAATGTGTGAGGAGAATGTGTTTATATTAAATCTCAGTATATTAAATGGATCATGCCTGCTGGACATTCATCTTCTGCTAACTGGAGAAGATTCTAATCTATCAATTAGTTGCAGTACTTGTTTGTCAAGAAAGGAAGGCGAAGGTTTACAGCTGTATAGCACAGACCCACAACACCCATGTAAAATATTCACTGAATTTATAGAAGATACAAAGGAAGTTTGTCTCAAGACTGCAAGAGGTTCTCAAAGAAATGTATATGTGTTTTCATGAAAGTACCTGATGGCAGCACAAGGAATTAATGGTGGCTATGTGTAGCCATGCCTATCACAGTGGCCGTGCAGTCTAAGGAATGAAGCATCTTTGCCTACTTGAACACTGGGATCATGGGTTCAAATCCCACTCAAGGCATGGATGTCTGTATGCGTTTATATTATGTTTGTGTTATTCTGTGTGTAGGCAGCAGCTTTGTGATGGGCTAAGCCCCCATCCAAGGAGTCCTACCAACTGTGTATAGATTAAGAAGTGGCCAAGCTCCAAAAGGGCTGTAAAGTCACGGACAGACAGCCATGTGACGATAGTGGCTGTGCTTGAGAATCACTGGTCTAGATTAATATTATTGTTAAACACAAGTTTAACCAACATAAGGCCTTACATATCTGTAATCTTCAATGTCACTTGAAGATCTCAAGTCATTGATATCAGGAACAAAGTGTTGTGTTTAATGCATATTTATGAGCAATGGATCACTTCGTGTGCAGCCCTCCTACATTTTAATACTGCAGGCTTTGTCTAAGGCTTGTGGAGGTAGATAATATTTGCTGAAGAAGGGACAGTTATTTGAGAGACAGCAAAATGCTGCTGCAATGAAAAAGGCTGCACTGAGGATTTCTGAAGATTATGGCTGTTTCTGTTTGCAGCACTGAATGTGTTCATAATATTGTGGTGTGTTCACCGAAAGCAGGAATAGTTTAATCAGACTAGACATCCATTACCAGGTTATGGCACAGTAAACACCACCTTAGCCTAGTAATAGTTATGCATGCAACAATAGAGGAATTGTGGGAATCAGTGTTGTCTGTTGGGTCCTTGTAGAGGCTATATCTGGAGAAATGAAACATAGTTAATGGAAGTCTTAGTAGAAGTACTTGTAAAGTGGGCAGTGGTTAGCAGTCTGCAGCTGAAGTAGAAGTGAGTGCTAGCCAGTGGTAGCCAGATAAGGCTAGGAGACAATGGCCAGTGGTTGCAGCCAAGAAGATTTAGTGTGACATGGGTGCCAACTAGTGAGGACCAGAGCCATGGAACATGGAAGCTGAGGAATCTAGAGTGTCATGGGATCCATTACCAGGCAGTGCATAGTTAAGATACAGCAGAGTGAGAAGCCTTATTGCATGCTGTAGTGAATTGTAGAGTGTATGAATTAGTGATAGGACTATAATTAATTTTATTTATGAGTTTCAAAAGTCCAATAAATCTGGTTACTGATCCAAACCCTGTGTCTAGTCATCTGAACACGTGACAATATTAAGAACAGATAGAGGCCATTAGCTGCTGAAGTCCTTGCACCCTCCTTTGAGTATGCATTATGTAAAAGTTATGTTCTTCTTAGGTTCCATTTTCAGTGTTACTGCAACACCGCTGATTTAATACTTATTTGCAAAATGATATAGGAAGCTAAGCATGCCCTTCTCTTCAGTTAAACATCATGCAGTGAAGATATACAAAGGAATGGAAGTACGGCTGCATGTATTCTTAACCTTAGCATAAAGTGGAGGCATGTAGTCAACTTTATGCTCTGGTTTCTTTACTTCTGAGAAACAGCTTCTGACATCTTTTTGACCGGAGGCTGGGTGAGTCTCAGAACTGGCCTGGACATTGGTAAAGTGAAAAATGTCACCCCTTTCAGGAATGGAAACCCAGTTGTTCAGACCATAGCCTAGTCTGTATACTGACAGACTTGATGAACATCTGTTTCACACTGTATGGGGATGCTTTACTGGACAATTCTTACATACTTCCATTAGTGCAAGAACTGTGAACTGTAATATCCATCTGCCTCGCCCTCAGGCTGTAGTAAGGGCTACACACATGCACACAGAGATAGGCAACATGCACAGCATGCTTGTGGACAGACACATGCAACATGCACACATACACACCACACAAATCTTTGATTTACTCAATATATTTTCAGATTGCTGTCCTGAAAGAGAAATTGGCAGAAAGAGAGCAACAATTAAATGAAATAGGACAAAAATATTCATTGAACAAACAAGTGCTAACAGAAAACTGGCATCAGGCAGTTACTGAAGTGAGGCGACAATATGAAGCAATTGACAGTGCACTGGAGGTAAGACTCATGAATCAGCTGTTGTATAGGAGCAGACTAGATTGCAAATGCATGGCAATGGTACATGAAGGAAATGCTTTAAATTTATATTGGTGTATAGGATGTACAAATATTAGTGGTGTAACAGCAATTTAAAAACTATGTAGCACTCTATCATTCAAGAGAAAGTTAGAAAGTCAATTCTTTGTGAGCCAAACCAAGAATCAGAGATTGTTAATATTTTTGACATATGGTATATAGTTATGCAGATGGATACAAGATCCAACACCATAATCAGATGACAAGATGCCTATCACGTTCACTTTGAAGTGTCAGTCTCACAGTCTGCTTGTGCAGTTTATCTGCACTACAAGTATGATGATTTGGTGGTTAAAGATGTCCTAATATAAACAACATAGTCTGATAGCAGAAGAAGTTCATTCATTCATTCATTCAATTACATTCCATGGATCCTTACATGGCTGGAACACCACTGGATATAGAAATAGTAAAAAACAGGACAAATCCCATTAATTATATAAATACAAATTAATTATACTTAATCCATAACAGTTGAACATATTATCCAAGACAAATCACAATGAGTAATCATTAAAATAGTTATAAAATGTACATGTAAAAGAATGCAACATACTAATATGACACAAGAATTTGATCTGTTTCGTTCTGCTCCGTCACACTAACAATATTATAAAAAGATAAAACAGTTCAATCCAGTGTGACTAGTGAAGATTTTTTTTTTCTTATTTCAATTTTTCATGCCCTTACATGTTTTGGTCCTTAGAGACCATCATCAGAGGGACATCGATACAGTTTGGAAACCATTATTACAATAGGTGTTCTGAGTGTTAAAATACATATACAAGGGTTGGAACTTTAATAGTGGTAACTATTTATTTACAACTGATACAAAATAGATGCATGTTTCGAAGTTTTACTGTCCTTCAGTGTAGTCACCAGCACTGTGTACAACCCATTGCCAGCGATGTGGAAGTCGTAGGATACCTTTAGCAGCGCCTCTTGTGGTGATAGTTCGAATGGAGCAGTCTACTGCCTGAAGAATCTCTGGAACAGTTCTGAAGCGAATGCCACGAAGTGGCTCCTTCATCTTAGGAATCAAGTCGAAGTCACAAGGGCTTAAGTCCGGGGAGTATGGTGGATGGTACAGCACTTCCCAGCCCCATCGATCGAACAAATCAGCCACAGCTTGCATGTGGCTGAGCATGTCCTGCAAAATGATGGGTGGGTTCTGCAGAAAGTGTTGCCGCTTCTTTCTCAAAGCTGGTTGCAGGTTGTGTTCTAAAAATGAACAGTAATACTGCGCATTGACGGTCTGCTGTCAGGGAACAGTATTTGTTAGGATAACACTATCACAGTCATACATGACAGTCACCATAACTTTCACATTGCTGGGGTTCTGATGAACTTTTGATTTTCATGGCGACCCGTAATGACGCCATTTGTGGCTCGTACGATTTGGCTCATGTTTCATCCAGCATAATGATATGGCATAAGAAAGCCTCTCCTTTGCACTCATAGCGCTCCAAGTTGTTATGAGAACCGTCGTATTGTAGCCATTTCTGCATTTCCATCAAATTGTGCGGAACCCATCACGATGCAATTTTTCTCATGCCCAGGCATTCCTTCAGAATGTGAAGCACAGTCATATGCGCAAATCCTGTCTCTCAGGCCAGCTCATGAATTGTATGGCATCGATCACTCTCCAGTATTTTTTTTATTGCTAGTGGGGTGGGACTAAGTCCCTTGTACTGCAGCCACTTCTGGCCTGTTGTACCAGCCCCAGATGATAGGTGAGGGTGATTGTGGAGCAATTGGTGGAATGAAGATTAGCAGGGGAAACCAAAGTACTCTGAGAAAACCTGCCCCAGCGCCACTTTGTCCACCACAAATCCCACTTGACCAGACCCCAGGATTGAACCTGGGCCACCGCGGTGGGAAGCCAGCAACTAACCGCTTGAGCTATGGCGCGGCCTCCCTCTCCAGTAATGCAGAAAGAGCATACACTTCTTCTTCACTGACATTAGGATGACCTGGCCGACACATGACTGCCACATTTTGGCGTCCCTCATTGAAGCTTTTACCCACCTTGCCACTGTTCTGTAAGGCAATGCAGATTCCCCGCAAGCCTCTTGAAGACCTTGATGACACTGTTCTGCTGTACGGCCTCTGGCACATTCAATCTTTATCCAACTCCATTGTTCCTGCTTCGAACACATTGTGACAACACTATATTAGACCGCCAGCTAACACGAGCCTCTGTTCTTCTCGTCACTGCACATGTGCGTGATGTGGGAAGGGAGAGTCCGTTTGCTCTGAGGTAAGGTAGGTATGTAACTAATGTGTGGTATAAGCAACATTATTTGGTTCTGTTGCATGGCGTCTCTACACCAGTGTTGCCACTACTAAAGTTCCAACTCTTGTACATACAATGCTGACAATATGCAAATGGGTACAAAATCCAAAGTTTTCACAACTACAGCAGCTGTCTTGATATATTAAAAAAAAAAAATTAAAAATTTTTGTTAGTGAGGTTAGAATTTATAAACCAAGTAGGTTTGTGATCTCTCTCTTATCACCTCTCCTGGCAGGGGCTGAACTTGTACCACCTATCTTTCTTGAGAAGAGGGTTCTTTGATGTCATCCTGTGGTTGTTTGTGGTGCGCTATGTTGTAAGTGCATGAAGAATTTAAATAAGAAAAAAAAAATCTTCACCAGTCACACTGGACGGAAATGTTTTATCTTTTTATAATGACACAAGACTACAATAATGAAACATAAAAATACACTATCAGGCATCCAGCATATAACAGGCCAAGATCATTAATTAATACTGAAGTTAAAATATTCCTCCAATGAGTAAAATGAATTTGAGGGTAGAAATATTTTTAAAGCAAATCTAAGTTGTTTCGTATAATGAGCTAAGTTCTTTATGCTAGATGGTAGATTATTAAAAATTTTGATTCCAAAATAATATGTTCATTTTTGTGATTCAGAAAGATGGACACAATTTCAATGGCTATATTTCCTGAACTATATGTTGCATTTGAATTCTGTGAAGTACATTGGAAAGAGGATGTCATAGAGTTTCTCATACTACTGCTAGATCACTCCAGCACCATGTGAGTTGCAAGCGAGAGGCTACTATGCAACACAAGATTTTTTGCATTCGTGAGTCCAGTAAAAGTGAGTTTGCGACTGCGGTGCAGCATGCATTTCGTCGTAAGTTTAACATCCAACGTCCAACGAGGAAGAGCATTTTTCATTGGAATAAACAATTTGATGAAACTGGCTCTGTGTAACGATAAAAGCCTGGGCCCATCGCGTGTATCGGAGCGCATTCAAGTGAGCTTTGAGCTTAGACCAATGAAGTCAACCCGTAGTGCTAGTAGAGAACTTGGACTATCATAAACAACTGTCTGGCGTGTATTGAGGCGCCGGTTAGTGTACAAACCTTACTGCCTACAACTGGTACAGGCTCTTCGCGCAAACGATAAGGTAAAGCATGTAGAATTTTGTGACCGTATGCTCAAAAACATGGAAGATGAATTGTTTCTGCCTCGTGTAATTTTTAGTGATGAAGCTACATTTCACCTAACCGGGAAAGTCAACAGGCACAATGCTCGCATATGGGGACTACAAAATGCCTGTGTGACACTTGAACATGTGAGGGACAGCCCGAAAGTTAATGTGTTTTGTGCAATAATATTAATGAAGGTTTATGGACCTTTCTTTTTTGATGAAAACACGGTTACTGGAGTAACATATCTTAGAATTCTGCAAAACTGGCTTGTTCCTCAAATGAATGAAGCTTCAGGAGATTACATTTTCCAGCAGGACGGAGCTCCATCCCATTGGCACCTGAATGTTCGACGTTTCCTGAATGAATCTCTACCTCAACAATGGATAGGTCGCATGGGGAATGTAGACCTGGCACTTCAGTTCTGGCCACCGAGGTCTCCTGATCTCACACCCTGCGACTTTTTCCTGTGGGGATCCGTGAAAGATACAGTTTACGTACCACCTCTTCCCACAAATTTGAATGACCTAAGGAACCATATCATAGCTGTGGTGAACTCAGTGATGCAAGATATTTGTCATCAAGTGTGGGATGAATTCAGCTACCATCTAGATGTTATCTGTGCAGCAGGAGGGGGGCACATTGACCGTCTATAAACTTCCATGTATGTATAATCACATGTAATTTACAGAATTCAAATGCAACTTATAATTCAGGAAATATAGCCAATTGAGATTGTGTCCATCTTTCTGAATCATCCTGTACCGTTAAATTACATATTGGATAATGGGCATTTTTATTGTGTCTTGTATTAATGCTATGAATCTCAGAGTTAGATTTAAATTATTCTCTTTTTTTTTTAACCATAAATAGTAAAAGAGAAAATATGTACTGTGATTGGAAGTGCAAAATTTTCAGTTTCTTAAACAACTCCGTGTAAGAGTCTCTATTTCTAGAGTTAGTAGCAATTATAATTACCCTTTCCTGTATCCTAAAAATATGAATACTATAAGGAGAATTGCCCCATAAAATTATACCATAGGTCATAACAGAATGAAAATATGAGAAATATTGTTGCTAGCAATAAAAAATGGTGAATTTGCAATAATGGCATAGTTTAATGGAGAATGAACGTGAAGTTATTAATAATCATTTAGCTTACCTAATATATGTAGAGGTACCTTGTGACTGTATGTAAGAATTGATAAAAATGAATGCATTAATTATGCTATTAATTGTTACTTCAGAAAGAATCCACACTTTTTGTTACCATAACTGTTACTCTGTAACAATCAGTTCACTTTATCTGTTCATAGACTCTGCATAGCATGCAGGGAGTGGTGAGGCAGTGCCCATCTCTGATGAAGCTGCAACAAGACTTAGAAGAAACTAACTTCCAGTGTGCCTCATCCTTGCCTATTATTGCCGCAGATCTCAATGCCAATGCTCCTCCTGTAGTAACACGCAATGGAACTCACAATGGCGAGAGTAATGGTCTAGAAACAACACATAAGTCAGGGAATGCCATTAATGGTAGGGCATAACTGAATGAAACACTGTTGAACTTTCCAATCAAAACAATAAAAAAATAATTTTAGAAGCTGATTGAATGATGTAACTGAGCATGTTTGAAGAATTTGCATCTAGCAGTTAACTATACAACAGAAACCAATCTTGTCATCAGATGGCATTGTAATGTATGATGGCTGCTGTACTGTTTTGAAATTAAATTGAACTGATGGATTTATGACTAGGGTTACTATAAAACAAGACATACATTTGTTATGACAGGATCTCTAGTATGATATTTTTGATGCTTATTATTAGAAGATATGTTACTGAACTGTATGATAGAACAATTGCCTCTAAATTGTGATGTAAAAATGGGAATCCAAAATGGTTAGAAATTGAAAGAGTAAGTTAAAATGTCTGTTGCACTGTTCATATTATCAGTGAGCAGTTTAAAAAGCATGAGTCCTATAGACATACAATAGATGCAAGTTACAGTGGAACCTCGCTAACGAGCGACGTTTTGCATAACGAGTGACAAGAGGGGAAGTCCTGGATTGTGCGCTTGCTACATCAGTCTGTGTTTAGCACTCGTTCCGCTAGCATCTTAGTGTCTGTCGCTTGTGATCACACATTTTTCCAAACTTGTGTTCAGACATTATTTGTAATTTTTTTTGTGTAAAGTTTAATAACCCTTGCAAAAATGTCCCCAAAGAAAAAGCCACAAAAAGACAGCCATAAGAGAATAAAAATAACTGTAGAAATGAAACGTAAAATCATTGAAAAGTGAGAACAAGGTGTGAGCGTGGCTGATCTAGCACGCATTGGTCTACATCAACGATTTGCACTATCCTCAAGAAGGAGGAGGAGGAGGTAACAGCAAAGCAACAATCTTCTGGCACAATAAGAGAAATGCTGAAAGCATGGGAAACTGTTGCATCGTACTTTGAGAAGCATCACCGTAATAAGGCAGTGGCTATGTGCGCTACAAATTTATTTAATGATAATGCTGTGTCGCATTTTCACCAAATTTTGAAGTGTTGGCAAAAACAAATGTCTATAGACAGCTTTCTAGTAAAACAGAATTAGATATGTATCATAAATAATAAACTAATTATTTCGATTTTTTTTCTGCAAATCGAATTCGCATTCCAGGTTGGTTCATTCTGCACAGAAGAAAAGATGAAGATGATTCACGCTCCTTAACAATGTATATATAATTTTCTTTGAATAAACGTTATACATAAAATTTTTTGAGTATTTTTTTTGGCATGGAACGCATTATCATATTTTACATTAATTTATATGGGAAAAATTGTTTCGCTTAACGAGTGTTTCGCATTATGAGTAAGATTATGGAACGAATTATGCTCATTAAGCGAGGTTCCACTATATACCGTACAGTTAAAAATAAATTATCTATAACATGACAATGAAGACAGGAGGTGACTGAGTAAGATTTTGTATGACTGAAACTGTAACAAACAATGCACTCATATTTTTTGTACCTCATTATTAAATAGTGTAATTCAGATGCTGGTCCATGAAAATATCAGAATAATAAACATCAACACAATACAGAGTTATTAGTTCTCAGTCCAGGATCTTACATTAACACATGTTAATATAGTTCACTGCTACTGATTTCACTGTGAGTTCCCTGGATGATAGTGTATATTTAAGTTAATCAAAATCAAAATTATGGATGAATGTAATGTATGTATCCATTAAAGTCATTCATCATGTAACCATGCCTTTTACTACTTTCACTGAATTTGCCTTTACAGTTGTGCAAAAGAAGATATAAAATATCTAAACATGTGAGGTAATAAACTCAGAAAATACAGCAGATTGCAATTAAGTATGTTCCAGCATCTGCGTGAAACATACATATCAACTCAAACTTAATTTTTTAATTCCATCAAACTTTAGTACAAGATTTTGTATCACAGATTAATGCACTTTAATCATGCAAACAATAACTGAAAATTAAGAATGTTACTTATCTACAGTTCTCAAATTAATATAATTTTTAGCCTTTACTGGCTGTGTGTTGCGCTGTTGTAACAGAACATTTGTGTGGTCCAACTGGTGCATTTTTCCAGTACTTATATCATTACTCCAGAGTTAAAATCTAGCCACTAGCTCCATGATAACAGGGGACTTAAAAATCCTATACTTCTGGATAGTAAATGTGAATATGTTTTATTAATAATGTATAAAGACAGCAATTCAAGAAACAACACTGACATGCTGTTAAGGAGACAGTACCTCTGTTAAAGTCACTGGGGTGCAGCCAGACCTCAGTGGCCTCCTTAACCTGAGCAGTCCCTGTAGCCTACCATTCTTGCAGGTACCGTGGTGTCCTTGGAGTTTATGGAATTCTCTGCCTTGATGCTGCGCTCAGCTACTACTGTGTTATCTGACTGGTGTAGTTGCATGTGCTCTATGTGTCCATTACACATTTTCTTGATCGTACAGCCCTATGAGAAACGTGAATATGGTAATGTGCACGCTGGACATACAGGCTGTGCCATCAAGATATCTAATGAATATAGGTGACACATATGACCATACTAATGACTTAAGTTGGTGGTGGTGCAGCATAGCAGCGTTGTGGAGCATCAGATGAATTTCAAGGATGTAAAATTATTGGTGAGAACAAGAGGCTACATGGACCATCCAGTTAAGGAGGCCGTAGAACTCTGGCTGCACCTGGGTAACTTTAGAAAAGGTATGGGATTACCTCTCAGTCATTCATGGTACCCAGCCATGACTACAATAAAGCACATGAAATAACTTAAGAAATGTCATGAGGAAGGACCAGTGACTGGCAACATGAATCCAGATGACTGAGTGACTGTTCCTCATGTGGTCCACACTGGGACATGGCAGTACAGGCTGGGATGAATGCCAGCTGTATGCATGAATGTATAAGTAGTATGCAAACACAGCATTCATCACAACAACCTCTGACAATGGAGATGAGTACTTCTGAAATATCAGACACCATGTCCACATTGACACAGCTGACCACCTGAGAAGACTTCACTGAACATTAGCATTACTTAGTACCTAAAGAATGCTGTATGTGAAGAAACTGTAACAAAAATATTGTCTTATCTAACATTACAAAATTTGTTTCAAATATTTTTTGACAAAAGTATTATTGAAAAAATGCAGTACATTGTTATTACATGCATGCAAATATTTATTTGTAAGTTTATCATGCCCTCATTTTTCCCATAATTTTCTTACCTTGTTGAATATGTTATTGTTTATGCATATTTATAAATCAAGCTTTCAACAGCACTCTTTCCATTGCATGTTTCTGCGAGTCTCTTTTATTTTGACTCTTACATGCTGCTGAGTGATGTAAGAGGTTAAATGGCAAGGTACAGACCAGGCCTTTTACCAATCCACCCCTCATGACACTAGTGTGTCAACAAAACTGTTTAAATTTTAATTGTGATAATAAATTAATGTTAGCAAGTATGAAGAGTGTGGTAGGAGAAATTGTGGAATAAGTTAAAGGAGAGAGAGAGAGAGAGAAATTAAAAAGTACATGTAATGAAAACAAATTTAGAGTTCAACCTGGCACAGAACTCTGTTCTTGTAAGATATGATGTTTTCAGTAACAACTATTGTGTAAGAAGGATGACAGGTTAATTTGTGGATAAAGCTGTTCATTCTCTTCAAGATTATCTTGTAATGGTGACTAACCTACCCTCAATAACCATTTCACAGTTCAGCTTTGATGTAGTATGACTAAAGATTATAGCATAAGTGTACAGATTGTATGGATACAAAGAACAAATGAATGAATGAACAAGTGAATATTTTAATCAGTCTATTACTGCCCCTGACAAGTCAGAATGTTTTTCATAAAGAGAGGAAGTTAAATTCAGAGAGGGCTTCATATCACCCAGTTCAAAATCTTTGGACTTCTCGCTCGCAATCTAAACACTCCAAAATTAAAATATACAAAACTATAATTTTGCCTGTACTTTTGTGTGGATGTGAAATTTGATGTCTCACATTAAGGAAAGGACATGGTCTGAGGGTGTTTAAGAACAATTTGCCAAGGAGAATATTTGATTTTAAGAAGGATGAAATAATAGGCCCTCTCGTTGGTGCCTCCACCTTATCGTGGTGAGGGGGTTTGAGTATGCCAAGGACCCTGAGAGCTATACCAGCGGTAGCGTAACTACTGGCAGGGCCTCCTTTGCTGGACAGGTCAAAGGGTAGGCATCAGACGAAGAGGGACACCAAAAACCAATGCCGGAAGCAGCGTCATCAGTAGCGACTTGAAGCACAGAGCAAATGATGCTCGAGATGGTTCAAGTTCGTATAGCAACAGGCGTGACCAGAGTGGTTTGAACGGCTGTTGTACTGCGATGTGGAAAGCAAATGGGAAAACTACCACATTATCACTTTTCCTGGATAGTCTCTTTCCAAACACAGACGATCGCATTAAGTGGAGAAACTGTTTTGGAAGAGACTGTCGACCTGTCGCCTGACAGATTACTGATGATGATGANAAAACTACCACATTATCACTTTTCCTGGATAGTCTCTTTCCAAACACAGACACACCATGTATGCGAACCAGAAGACGTAAGAAGATGCTGGATGACCTTGGGGACAGAAGAGGATATTCTCATTTGAAGGAGAAATCTCTAGATCGCATTAAGTGGAGAAACTGTTTTGGGAGAGACTGTGGACCTGTCGTCTGACAGATTACTGATGAATGAATGAAATAATAGGAGGCTGGAGAAAACTGCATAATGAGGAGCTTCATAATGTGTACTCCAGAGATTTTATTAGAATTATCAAATGAAGGATGATGAGATGGGAAGGGCATGTAGCATGTACTCATACAGGAAAGCAGAAGAGTACATAACAAGGTTTTGGTAGGAAAATCTGATGGAGAGAGAGAACTAGGAAGACCTAATTACAGGTGGGAGAATAATGTTAAAATGGCTATATAACCAAGTTGTGAGTGGCCGGCTCCTGTGAACACACGAATGAAACTTTTGATTAAATGAAATCCTGGGGAATTTATGAGTGGCTGAGCAACTGTTTGATTTTCATAAATTACTCAGCTCCATGACATTACTTACTATTTATACTATGGGATAACAGAGTTTGATTCCCTGTTCCTATACTGTGGCAACCCACTTAAATTGACACAATAACATTTTTATTATACTTTGTATTATTATGTTGGTATAGCAATCAGATTATGGGCTGGACAACCAGGGTTTGATTCCTGGCAGTGCCAAGAGAACTTTCTCTTCTGTATAGAGTCCAGACAAGCTTTGGGCCCATCTAGCCTCATAGTGAATGGGTACCAGGGGTTCTCTCTTGGAGGTTAGGTAAAATGGCAGGAGTGTGAAGCTGACTACACACCTCCATTTAGTGCCAAGGTTAAGAATGGTGGCACTATGCCTCCACTCCCCCATATGCCTTCATTACATAGTGCTTAATTAAATAATAATTATATAATCAAGTACAGGATAAATTTACCTATTTTTCTTTACTATGAGGGAGAGTCAGTAAATA